TGAGCCTTCCATCCTTCCCAGGTCAGTAAAATGAGGACCCAGATTGTTGGGGGCAATATGCTGACTCTGTAAACCATTTAGAGCAGTGTTTCTCAACCTTGACAATTTTAAGGCATGTGGACTTCAACTCCCAGAATTCCACAGCCAGCATTGCTGGCTGTGGAATTCTGGGAGTTGAAGTCCACATGCCTTAAAATTGTCAAGGTTGAGAAACACTGATTTAGAGAGAGCTGCAAAGCACTACGAAGTGATATGTATGTATAAGTGCTACTGCTGTTGCTATTTTTGAGACAAAAGAGAATGTATATTGTAACTATTCCATCACATGTAGGCTATTATATCTTCCTTTCCATTTATACTGATGATAGTGATGCTTGGTTTAAATTATAATTCTGCAATTTAAATTTTATTATATGATTACAAATGCAACCTTTCCCATTCAAGTTTAAGTCAGACATTTTCTTCTCTATATATTAATAACTGAGGTTCTGGATGTAAGCATTTACTAATTTATTTGTTCAACTTATGAGCTGCCTCAATCTCTTCACTGACTCTAGATGATATATAATATATTTTAAAAGGTAGGAAAAAAACAATGACTGAAACTCTGAAACATGTTAAGCTTCTTTCAGGGAAGGTAAACACCATAAACACCAAGGGATTAATATCAGAATTTCAAGATGGGGTCATAAATTGCCCAACCCCAGGATTTGCTGTGAAGCAATATACTTAGAAATTTTGAAAAAACAGAATACATCAGTAGAGGGTTATTATTCCAGAGGACTGGGTACTATAGAAAAGTACTTCTGTGTAATGTGTTCAACATAAGATCTGAAAGTGGGCTTTGAATTATGGATTGGACTAAAATGATCCACTGCAATCTTTTTCTAATATTTACTTCCCCAGATTCCTCATTACTTCCCTCCATCCTATATTGAGTAGATTTTGTTCTAATGCACCAGGGTGCAGGTGTTCACTAAGAAAGCTTATGGAATCTTATTTGAGCCAAGAAAGAGTCTGTGATATACAGTAAACATGATGCTGAAGGCTAGCTAGCACTTTCTTTTGCAAGATGACAACTTTCCATTTTTTAAATTAATGTTATTTTTTTAAATTAAATATCAGGTGGGCCATGGAACAGGAAGTATTTTTAGGCTCCAATCTGGGTTGGTCACCAGGACCAGAGGTTTAGTCTTCTAAGCTTTCAGACTCATGCTGGAGTCCATCATTCAGGGAACTTCTCTCTCACCAGAATGTGTGCTTTAGGCTATTCTATGTGGAGTATTTATGTGGTGCCTAGTTGTGTGTGCTTTTTAGTTGTTAATTGGTGTGTGTGTGTTGATAGTCAGTTATCAAGTTGTTGGCTGCTGTTTCTTTGTGTTGCCAAGTCTTCAGCTCCTACTTGATAAACTGGTGGTAAATCAGCACTCCTGTTGACTGACAAGGGACCAGTTTTCCAAGCTTCAATAATTTCCCTGGCTATTTTTGTACCTTTTCGTCCAACAAATTGAACAAATTGACTGTACGTCTTTGTTCATTGCAGTGTGAGGCTACCAATGAGTTTGGGTCCCTCATCTAACCACTTGCTTGTGTTCTTGCAATCTGATGGTTAGCTTCCTCCTCATCTGTCCTACATAGTCACAGGGGCAATTCATGCAGGGGATCCATTAGATTACATTAGAAGTGTATCCCACCTCCCAGTGTATTGCAGGCATATTAGCATCATTAGATACCATGGTGGGCATCCCAGATGTAAAGGACTAAACATTATTTTGGCTTAAATTCAGGAGAATATCAGAAATGCATTTGTTAATGGAATCAATCATATGGGAATGGGTGGGTTCTCCCTTACTGTAAACCTTTAAGGAGAAATTGGAGTGTTGTCTGAACTATTCTATTTCTGCCCTTTGGAACAATATCCTTTTACTTGCCTTAAAGCCATATTCAAAAATCTGTCCTGCCAACTAGGCTTTGGGTTATGCTTCAGGTAGCCCCTTTTATTGCAGGGAATGAGTGGAGTGATGTAAAAATATGTTACAGTACATTGTCCATCTGCTGTATGTTTATATCATACTGTTTTTCTTCCTTTTAGATAATATTGCTGTTTCTTTTAACCTCATGAAGCTGTCTAGAGTTGCTTTGGTCTAGAAATCTGACAAAAATCAATACATAAATGATTAGGCTGGTTTATTTTTATCAAGCAAAGACAAAAGATACCCATCTATATCTTCAATTTGGAATGCATGGGCTTCCATTATTCTTCCAGTTATGTTGGACAATAGGTCCCATAATTTCTAGATTGACTGGCATTGGCTGGGGGTGTCCTGATTCTGGGGACATTTCATCTTTAGTTTTGAATTCAGAACTATTGTGCAATTTGGGGATTCCTTTGGGATTCCTGCCTCTTGCTGAAAGAGCAAACAGTACCATGCCAACATGCAAATCTATCTTATGTAAGAAGTGTTCTTGTTCCTAGGTTAGGAGGCTCTGCTCAATGTCACCCATTCTTAAATCACCTTCTGTCTGGACTACTGAAGTGCACTGTCCATGGGGTTGCCCTGAAAGAACATGTAGAGGCTGCAATTGGTCCAAAATATGGTAGTGCAGAAAACATGGGTTCACCATGGCACATCTATAAAACACTGCACATCTATAAAACACGGCACATCTATAAAACACATCTATAAAACACAAATTGCATTAGCTTCCTATAAAATTCCAGGTGCACTTCGTAATCTTAGTTACTGCTTTTAAAGCTATTCATGGGATAGGGTTCAATTTGCTAGACTGCCTATTTCTGATTCTTTGCCTGTCCCATGAGATCTGGCAGGGTGGACATGCGTTAAGTCTCCTCTGTGAAAGAGTCACCTAACAGACCCAGGAAACACATCTTCTGCTGTAGTGGCCTGCTCTTGGAATAGCAAATCTTCGGTGATGCAGATGGCTCTAATGCTGTTGGAATTCCAAAAACTTCATTTTCTTCCAAGTATTGGGCTAGTTGGCTGAGTTCATCCTGTCCTGCTTTTAGATTGGAATATGTTGGCAACTTGGCCTCATTTTTTTTATAGGCCTGACCAGTGCTTTCTCCAAAAACTGAATGGAGAGGGGTGGCCACTATGAAGACTGAATTGAAGACCCACCCACCCTCCCACCCACCCATCCAGACACACACAGAGACACACACAAAGTGGATTCATGCTGCACAGAAATATATATATATGTTAAGTGGGGAGCACATTTACTGCAGGCAATTCTTGACTTATAATCATTTGTTTAATGACTGTTCAAAATCATGACAGCACTGAAAAAAGCTATTTAAGACCAGTCCTCACTACAACCATGGCAGCATCCCTATGATCATGTGATTACAATGCAGGCTTTGGGGACCCATCATATATTTACAACAGCTGCAGCATTCCAGGGTCACATGATCACCATTTGTGGCCTTCGCAGGGGGCTTCCAACAAAGTCAATGGGGGAAAAGCAGGATTCTCTTAATCACTGTGTGATTTGCTTAATGACCACGACAAAAACAGTTCTAAATTGGGCATAACTCAATGCCCACATCACTTAGCGATGGAAATTCCGGCCCCAGTTGTGATCAGAGGCTGAGGAATACCTATTTACATCTTTCATTTCCCATCTTCCTGACCTTCTGATATTTTTGTACCAACTCATTCATAAACTTTCTGAGACTTTGGGGTTTCCCCCATGATCAAGTGACTTTTTCAGGATTGAACATTATCGTTTTGATGGAGGGGAAGGGAAGGCCCAAAAAGAGCTGCACATCAAAGCGTTGCATTTGGACACTTGCCCTGTGGAACAACTTGTCCTCCAGTGTGAGGTTGGCCCCGATGCTCCTGACCTTCTGGAAGAGCGTGAAGGCCTAGGCTTTGACAGATAGCTTGAGGCTCCAATGGGGGAGTATCACAGTGGAGGGGGTTGATCAATTAACAATGGATCAATTAACCTCTTCCCCCATCCTGCTCCTGCCCAACCTCCATTTTTTAATTGGGCCATGAAGCTCTGCATTTTATACTAACTTATCTATGTTTTTAGTTTATATAGGGTTTTTTTTTTTATGATTGTCAACCGGCCAGAGTTACCTTCAGGTAAGATGGGCAGTCTATAATTTTATAAATAAACTACCCAGAAGTGAATTCTACAAAAGCGGAATGAGCAGAACTAGAGCAATACAGAAGAGGGCAAAGATGGATTCGAGTATAGGTAGTCCTCGACTTATGACTACAATTGATCCAACATTTCTGTTGCTAAGTGAGACATTTGTTAAGTGAGTTTTGCCCCATTTTACAACTCTTCTTGCCACAGATTAAGTGAATCACTGCAGTTAGTGACACAGAATCTGGCTTCCCCATTGACTTTGTTTGTCATAAGATTACAAAGTGTGATCACATGATCTTGGGACACAGCAACAGTCATAAGTATGAACCAGTTGCCAAGCATCTGAATTTTGATCACATAATCATGGGGATATAACAAAACTCATGTGTGAAAAATGGTCATAAGTCACTTTTTTCAGTGCTATTTGAATGGTCACTAAATGAACTGTTATAAGTCGAGGATTACCTGTATTATCCCTGCTCGAAAATGACAACCATCCGTTGGGCAGACTGAGGTCAGAGGACGGGGTCTGCCAGGAAATGGGAGTGAGATGGGTGGGGCAGGGCTGATGCATCGTTTCTGTCTGGTCTCGCCCCGCTCTGTTCCCGCTGCACTTTAGGGATAATTTCTGCACTTCCACTTTTCTCGCCGCCTCCTCACCAGCACAATTTTAAAAAGAGCCGTGCGCTGGGCTGGGGCTGTTCTGGCGCTAAGTCGCCCTCTCGATTCCCCTCCAGCGGGTAGACACGGCGTGAGGGGGCGGGCCCCAAGGAGGAGCCAGCGAACTTGGAGGCTCGTTTTCCTGGGTCCGAGTGCTGGTACTGAGTGGGAGTCGTTCGGAAGAGCCCCCTGCTCCCGTCCGGCCGGCTATTCCCCCCCTCCCCCGAGATAAAAACCCTGCCTCCTCCTCTCCTCCTCCTCCTCTCTCCTCCCCTGAGATAAAACCTCGGTCCCGGCGCTACGGTCGCTCTCCCTTAAGCCGATCCGGTGCGGTGTTTGTCAGGGTATGGCAGCGCTGGGAGCCGTAGTGAAGAAAGTATGGTGTATCCGCCGCTATTTGGTGATTCTGTGCGCTCCGCTGGTGCTGCTCCCCATTCTCTTCAGCCTGCCCCCCAAGGTAACATCTTGCCCGCCATCCTTTCTAGGATATGACTTGCACTTCTGATAGCCCTATAAGAAGCTTATTTTCCTTCGTGCCTTCCCCGACTCGATCCCTTTACTCCTCTGCGGAGTAACCACCGAGCTGGTCCACCGACCAAGTTGAGGGCCCCAGTCTTTCCAACTTTGTGTTTAACTAAGATAAGCTACATCTGAGCAGGTGATGTTTTCCTCTTAGTGTGGCGTGGGAAGCGCGATTCAAATAACTTTCTGACTGTCAGCATTGGCATGTAGTAATTAAAGTAGCAGGGGGAAAGTACTATGTCTTCTACTTTGCTGAACTAAATCTCTGTCTTCGTTATTTCTTCAGTAAAGCAACATTAGCTTTAATTAAGGGCATCTCTTTCATAAAGTACTGTTCTCTGGAACAGCCCAGAGATTCTGAGACCTGGCCCCTGTTCCTCTTCCCGGCTCCTCTGGTAACTTGATTTTTTTTTCTCCCTTTCCCTCTTTATCAACTATCCTGCTTAATGTCCAACCACTTAATCCATGCCATACCTCTCTGCTCTCTCAGGATTTTAAAATATTACTATCATATTCAGTGGTAATAATTTCTAGCTTTCTGATCCCTGCAAACTTATTTTTTTTATTTCAAATATTTTATGCTGCCTTTTCCTTTTACAATTCAGAGAAGCTTAAAGTTGTTGGCCTTCATCTTGGTCTCCTATAATTTACTCATTGTACATCCCGGTGAATTTGATTTTTGATGACTGAAAATCATAATGACTCAAAACATAGCTCTAATCCAGTGTGTTTGAAGGGCAGCAACTTGGAAACAATTGACATTCCCAAATAAGAATCAATCTTTCAAAATACACGATGACTTTCTATGATAGTTATTCTGTATTATATGCACCAAATGTATTTCCTTTCTTCTTTTCCAGGTTTCTTCCCTTTCCCCCCAACATTTTTATCCCTAAGAAAAATTTGCCTCAAGGAATATTGTTTCTTCAGATCTAAATCATTAATCTCTCTGTACAAAAGTAATATTTCTCTGTCTTTAAAGTTCCAGTTTCTTCTCTGCTGTGTTAGAAGACTTGCAGCTGTAGGAGAATAACTCTTCCCTACCATCCAGTCAAGAATACTATGAGCCATGTACTGTTCTCTCAAATTAATTCTGTCCAGCTAAACATTGTAGCAACTGTTCTCTGGCCTGATTCCCTGGTACAAGATTGTCTCTTAATGCAGCATCCTTCTAAGTCTGAATATTTTAATTGAAGAAGACTGACTATTTCAAGTTATTGGAGAAACCTTCATTCCATTTTGTAAAAGAATTGTAAATCACAGTTCTGGATTGTTTTTTCATTACAAAACGAATGTAGTTAGTTTGGTTCAAGAACTGTTTTTCATTCATATCACAAGGATATGAATATTTTTTCCTGGAGAAATAACCCAAACTTGGTCATTACTGTTCTTTCAGATGCCAAGTCCAGACAAACATTTTTGTACCAATAAAAAAGAGTATTTATAACTCAGGGTTGAAATGAGGGGTCCTTGGTGCTCTCTGAGCTTGGTTGTTTTCTTGCAGACGTTTCATTACCTGTACTTGGTAATATCATCAGTGCTAGTGACAAAAACATTTTTGTTTCTGTGCTCCAAGCGAACATGGTCAATAAAATAACATCGCTTCATTCCAATTTTTGTCTCTTCTTTCTTGGTCACGGCTTCCAAAATATTTTGTTGTTACATTTTATATTTTAATCACAAAAGATGTTCCGGAGAGAATGCTCAGAATAGAATAAGTAAGTCCTATACATTTTAATAAACGAGCAAGTTCCATTGAAGTAGTTTAATATTATAATCCATTGCAATATTTTTAAGAAAAACTGCATAAAATAATTTGATCAAGAGTTTTCTAAGCAATTTTTTGGCCCACTTCCTAAATTTGCCACTCCATGCATAGTTTGCTATATAATTGTAGATTATTTTTAGCTATTCAAATACATTTATAGGTGATATTGATGTACAATAATATTAGAGAAGGAATAGGATTTTTTAAAAATAGAATCAAACAGAAAAATGATACAGAATTTTCTTACAAATGTAGGATTGTCATCCTTTTTTTTTCCTCTTGCCAAGTTCTAATTGAGATATTCAGAGCTTTGTTGGCACAAGGCAGACCAACAACTAGGACACCCAATTCCGATTGTCTGACCAAAATGTCCCTGTCTTACCTGCAGCTTCAGTTTTTAAATGTCTTTCAGATTAAAAGATCTGCAATCATGTGCAATAAAATCCAGCACTAGTGCTTTCAAGGACTGTCTCTCATTTTATATTGTATTTTGACCATTCCTGAATATATTCAGGACAACGGTGCAGCACTGTTTACCCAATTTAATGTTCTTCAGCTACACTGTCTTTTTTCTAAACTGCATTCCCATCAATCAGATAGAAATCTTGTGGTATTTTTCCTTACACCATGAAAATGAAATTGTTTCTACAGGTAGTTCTCATTTAATGTCTGCATTTAGGTCTAACAGCTCAGTCATTAAGCAAAGTAGTTGCTAAGTGAAAAATCATGTGACTGCAAATGTACTTATGATTTTATAAAGGATAATGTATACTAACTGACCATAATGTGAACACACAACAGAGAGATGCTGTGAAAACGGTAAACATGGACATTGGTCGCAAAATTATTTTTTCAGAACTGTTGTAATTGCAAACGGTAAGTGTCTGAGAGACAGTGAGGACTACCTCACTGCTAAGTGAGGACTACCTGTATTAATGTAACTCTTAATATCATGTGACCCGGTTAGATTTCCTTATCCATTGATCTGCTTACTTAGCAGAGCTATAAAACTCACTGGAAATGAATTTTTTTTCTTTTTTTAGTGCCTTCAAATTAGTCTGCACTTCTGGCAATTGCCTGAAGAGGTCCATGTGGTTTTCTTGGGACATTTTAGAAGTGGTTTGCCATTGTTGTCTTCGTAGGCTAAAAGAGTAGCTGACCCTAAGTCTCACTATAAGTCAGCTTTGCCTAAAGCAGTACTGGAATTCCCGATATCCTGGTTTTTAGCCTGGTGTTTGTAATCATCACACCAAACTGAATCTCTTTAGAAACTTTGTTTACTAGTTAAACTTTCTCTAACTGCATTCAAATACATGTTCACACAAACCAGAATTAATAGAAGAATGCTAAGGCTCTTTATTTCTACCATTGAAGATAGGGTTTTAAGATGGCTGGGGTATGAATCTGGCCATTTACTTGGAAGTTCAGTTTTTGAATCCAACAGTGTGGCATTTTTTGCTTATACATCTAGGGAAACTTTTGTTCGTCCTAAGATGAAGCAATTATATTGTCATTCTTATGTTATTCTTACGACTGAAATAGATACAATTTGAAATGAGTTTCAACCTGCAGGTGTTTAAAATAATGCCAATATTATAAGGACAGTTTAAAGGACAGATAATAAATGAGATCATAGTAGACAAGGAGACAGGTATAATTCTTTCCAGCAATAATCCTGAAAAGAATCTCTACTCTGAAGCTGATACTTGTGTTTAGAAGAATAAGACCACTGCATCATTGAATGGGTTTTCTACTGCAATAAATCAACCTTCAGCATTTGCAACTAGAAAAAGAAAGAGTTAACCTCTACCTGCCCTACTGTGTTTTTTCTTTCAATTTCTCCAGTGCCTATAAGGCCTGCATGTTTGAAAGAGAATCTGATTGTAAAGAAATTTGAGCAGGGATATTTAAACTTTGAATGCTGGATTTTGTTTAACTTCTTCTGTTATGGATTATCAACTTTTTAGTGTTATAAAAATAATGGGTCCTTTTCTGATACACATTAGAAATTTGGGTTCATTTCCTATTCAAGAAAGCTAGTACAGATAATGGTTGCTTATAGGGGTGCGGCCTGGGCACTCCCCTTATGCTGCGCTCATGGGTTTGATAGGGATAAGAGGTGAGAAAGTGTAGAGAGGAAGTAGGGTAGTGAGAGGAGAGGGGGAGGGGAAGAGAGTAGGATGGGAGGTGAGAAAGAGGAGGGAAGTAGGGAATGTTTCAAGAGAGGGTGGACGCGGCCCGGGGGGAGTGGGCAGGTCGTACCAATGGTTATGAATTTATTTCATTTCAAAATTGTATTGTATTTTTTTTATATAATGTTTATATGGAAAAAAATAAAAAAACTTTTAATAAAAAAGAAAGCTAGTACCGTACTGAGTAGTGGTTAAGATGCTGAACCAATATGAGAAACTAGCCCTTGTGGAGGCATGGAAGCCAGCTGGCTGATCTTGGGTTGGTCATGGTCTCTCAGCCCAAATCAGCATCATATTTTACAACAAGCTGTGGAAGAGCAGAACCCCTTGTCACATCAAGAATCGAAAGCTTTGCTATGTGAACTGAAGCAAGTGTAATGCAAATCAAGCAAACCTTGCAATCAAGTGAGACATGCTAGGAAAAACAGCAACATTTCAAGTTTTTAATTTTTTTTAATCTGGCCTTTTATTATTTTTTATAAATAACTCAAGGTGATAAACATACTAATACTTCTTCTTACTCCTATTTTCTCAATAACAACCATCCCTTTGAGGTGAGCTAGACAGAGAAGACTAGTCCAAAATCACCCAGGCAGCTCACAAGTCTAGTCTAATGCCTTAACCATCAAACTGACTCAGCTTCCTACTCAAATTCTTGCCACATATACATTTTGCTAAAACAAACTATAGGGACTGGTAGGGTTCTTCCAAGCTACATTCTGCACAATTTTATTTATCAAATTCATATGCCCCTTATCTCGCAATTCGAGGCAACTCTAACAGGCGATAATATGGTAATATCAATGTACCAAGCAATATTAGCAAAAGTCCCCTTCCCATGGAGCTTATAATCCAATTGTAAGCATGCTATGCAACTGGTTGGATAACACAGTTTATATGTTATCTATCCCAGCAATAAGGCTATTTGTTCTATAGACCGTTCATATTTAATATATCACCTCAGCAATGGCTGGA